ACCACCATAGATTTTTGGGGGGGCCAGGCACCTGTTCTCATTTTGACCTAGTGGATTTTATTCTCATGAGGATATTTGAAGAGCATACATAATGTTTCCAGATGTGCTGGTTTGTGAGTGTATGTGCACACACAAGTGTGTGCATGTCCGTGCATCATGTATGTGCTCACATGTGTGTGCTCACATGTGTGTGAGTGTGCTCACATGTGTGTCTGCTCGTGCACGCTCACACATGTGTGTGCACCATGTGCACACACAAAACTGAAGAAAGGACAAGCCACAGGACACAGTGTAGAAGATGCTACTTCATACTTGAAAAACACCTTAGGTGTCTGCGGGAGCCTGAAGTGGGGAGGGGCAGAGAGGTCAGTTGTACCAAGGAGACTTCCTTTTACCCAAATGTTTTTTTAAACAATTTGAGTTCTGCTTTCAGCAAGGGTGACAGGGTGCCCGTTGGAACATTGTAAAGAAGGAACCCTGGTTCACACATGTCTTCCTTCCTTTCCACTTCTTCTGGTACCCCCTAGCAGTGCCACCTGTAGATGCCTCCTACACAGGGAGCTTCCACCCAAATGATATTCTCAGAGTCTTCAAAAAACCGAAACCACAGAATGTGAGTTCTGTCTTGGTCACCAAAGCAGCTGCGGGGTGCTTATTCTCACAAGAGCCCTCATTCTCCCACTAGCTAATCCTCAGAGGATCATTTCCTGTCACATCCAATGTCACCTTGACAGCTATTCAAGGGGTTGGCACTGGGACTCTTCAGATAGTTGGAGAGGGAGGGGTGAGAATCTTGTCAGGCCCAGAACAGCCTGTGTGTAGACCTTGAAGATCAGAGGGCCTTAGGAAGAGCCAAGAACTAACAGTGAAAAATCAGAATGGGGTTTCTCAAACTCCATTGTACCCAGCATCACCTGGTAACCTCACTTAATAAAGATGTTTCCTCAGTTCTGAGTGGGTCTGTGACTTTGTTTACAACAAGCACCCGTGTCCAAGGGTCTCACGCATCTGGAGAGGGATGCGCTGACACGGAGGGTCCTCCTAAAGCTCTCTGCTTCCCCAAAGGGACACGCTGCTAAAATGAGGTAAAGTCAAAACTGAAACTCTGCCTGTGTGTTGGAGAACAATAACCAACAGAATGGAGAGGAAGACAGAAAGGGGAGAAGGTGCTAGAAGGGAAGAAGCAAGACCTGAGCCCATCCTCCGATCCTTCTCTGCACCCTTCTCCAAACCCTAAATAAGCACGTGGCGCTGGCCTTTTGGGCACTGCTCTGTGACTGCTGGCTGCTGGCAGCGGACTCTGTGCGGAGGGGGGTGGTCAGTGGATTCTGTGTGGACAGGGAGCAGCGAGGTTTGCAGGAGGGTCTGACAGCCAGGCTCCTGCTGTCAGAATTCCCCCTGGCTGAGGACTCACTCACTCCTGCCTACTGATTCCCACCAAGCCCAGGTTTGAGAATTTTACTTCAGTCACCCACTAGTTCTGCTGTGGGTCATCGTAGCTGCATCTCATCCCAGTCAACTGTCCCCTCCCTCGGTGGTTCGGTGGTTGGGAATGGCCTGAAGCCAATGGGCAGTGGCCAGAGCATATATCTGTGGACCAGGGCTTCTGCCTGCGGGAAGCCTGGAAGATGAGTTCTGGTGTCTGTCCTGGATTAATGGGGTGAGAAGGCCTATTTGACTTGGGGGGGTTGAGGAGAGATACTGTGACATCGCCCCACCCTCATGGTCTGAGAAGTAACCTTGAACTTCATTAGATCTCTTGAAAACTAGGTTAAATCGAGGGGGTAATCCTACCATTGAGGTTATCTGTGGTACCCCAGCCCTTACTTGGAGTTACTGATTTGTCTCTGTCCCAGGAACACAGCACTTGGTGAGTTCCTGCCTGGGAAAGGAGCCTGACCTGAGCTCTGGGAAGGGAGGAGGCAAGTGTAGGAGTTCTGGGCAACCGGAAGGAAGTCCTAGGGAGTTCAGGGTGGAGGAAAGCTGGGCCCCTGGAGGAACGGGGAAATAGAAGGAGCCCCTGAAAATAGCTGGGAAAGAGCCTTGAATGTCCTACTTCTAAGAATAGGTGCATGGGACAGAGGTCAGGACCCCTCAGGCGGGTCGAAATCCTCAAAGATACATTGCAGCACCTCATGTCTGATCAGTGCTGCGGTTTCTCAATAAAATGCTTTTCTGGGGCTCTCCAGAGAGGCAGCCACTACTTGGGTTCCTCCTGTATCTACCCTGTCAGGCAGGCCCTGGGAATAATACAAATATCTCCTGTTTCCTTGGTCACAGGACCAGGCATGCCTACCTGTAAGTGCCGGGGAACCTGTACACTCCCACCCAAACCTCCCACTCTGTGGATCAATTCTGATGAGGCAGGAGCTTAGTTCTGGAGCAGTGGACCACTCCTGACTCTTTCTAGAAAACCCAGCATGGAAACATTAAGGGCCTAGTGTCTCCTGAACACCTAACCTAGCAGGGCAGGAAGGAGAATGGGAGCTTAGAACGAAGCTGTGGCATACTTAGGATCCAGCGCCTGCCTTGACCTGTAATCGTTGGTATCTGTAAAAGGGGAGCAATGATGCATCCATCCCAACACCAAAACCAGAGAGGCTGTTGGGATAACTGGGCAACATAACAGTTTGTATGCTGAGTCCAACAGAAGTTCATTCCCATCCCTGTTCATCTCTATCCAAATGTCATTCCACCACGAACTTTGCGGGGCAGGGGCTCCTTTCAGTGGCCTGGATCATTAAGGGCAGGTGGCTGGGACTTGGGACGAACGTTCACACCTCTCCAAGACTCAGTTTCCTCGTTTCTAAAACGTGAGCCGGGGTACCTTTTAGGGCCACTGAGAGGAAGCCGGCCCAAACCAGCTAAAGGCAGGCAATGGCTCCGGTAACTTTGAAGTAGTCACCAGCCCTGCCAACCTAAAGGCTCGCACACACCCCACAGCCCAGAGTAAAGACTTTACCATTCACTTAGTACGTCGTTTAAATGTTCAGCATATCTTTGCCTGCAGATCACGCACTAGTTCACGCACAATTGCCCGACTCTGCCTTCAGAAACATTCACCAAGTGCAAGGCCACCTGCCAGGCGGCCTGCAGAACCAGACGCTGGCAAGGCCAGCAAGGCCCCTGAGCTGAGCTCTGACGCCCGACCAGTCTTACCGCACACTCGTTTGAGCCCTAAAGCGGCTGTTCTGCGTTCCTTCTGGCTTCCGGACCTCCACCGGTCACCCCCACTCTCCAGTGCCAGAAACGCTGCCTGCCGCCCCCACCCCCCACCCCAGAGGGTTCTGCGCAAGGACACCGCTCTCCTTGGCCGCCAGGCAGAATCAGAATCGCAACCTGAATGCTAGTAGGGTCCCAGGAAGGGAAGGGAGAGAGCCAGCACGAAACGCGGGACCCGGGAAGCGGTGGGAGGTCTGAGCTCGGGAGCCCGGCGACGTCCACCCCAGCCGGTTTGGCACTGGCCCCTCCTGGGCCGCCAGGCTGTGGAGCAAAGGCCGGCCCTGACACGCACCCGGCCTTTTGTGCGAAGGAAACACAAAGGAGAGGGAAAAACACGTCTTCCGTTTGGAAGGAGGGGGCCGACAGCTCCAGGACGCCTAGGCCAGCCAGGAAGTGCCTGAGCCTGGCTGGCGGATTAGCCTAAGTAAGTGAGCACTCAATTCCTGGGGAAGGCTCTTTGGTCCAGCTGCGCACGCGGGTGGCAAACGCAGCTCCCAGGCCCACTCTGGACACACAGGCAGCACAGCTGGATCCGGACGAGTGCGAAAAAGTCTGTCTCTCGACCAAGAAGGGCAAGCGAGGGCCAACCCCGTCTAGTTTCCAATGGCGGGGAGGGGGTAAAGGAGATGCAGTGATGTGTCGTCTCCAGCCTCCCAACTTGCCCCAGTGCCAGAGACCCGGGAACACAGATGGCCCCCAGGCCGCAAGCATCTCGGATGAAAGGAAGGCAGCCGCCTAAGGGAGGAGGAGACAGTTAGGAGATGCCTGTCAGAGCTTCTGACCTCGGGAGCGAGGACCACGGGATGCCACTGCACATCCTGGAGCTGCCAGGACAGCCTGCTCACAGGGAAAGGGGACATGGAGCGGCTAGAAGCAGATCAAGCAAGCGCTGCGCTCCTTTCTCCATTCTCTCCGGGGTGGAATGGATCCCCCAACCTTCAGCCCCGTCTCAACCAACTCCTGCTACTGGACCAAGTGTGCAGAAAACGCCAGCCTTCTGACTCTCGCAGACTTCGGACAGGCAAACCAGTGGAACGCGACAAAAGAACGAGCCAGGGCTCGGGAATGCTTCAGGCAGCCACACTAGCCCGGGCGGCTGCAAACTAATCACCCGCTTGCTGTGCCGCCTGAGGTTTGTTAGCTAGGTTGGCAAGCGCACAGCTCCACGCCCCAGCTGGTGGCCCCACAGAGTGCACACACACACACACACACACACACACACGCACACGCACACGCACACACACGCGCACACACACGCGCACACACACACACACACGCCCTCACTGCGGTTCGCCCCAAAGGCCCGAGAGTGGTCCTCACATGCCCAAGCTCCTAATCCCCACCCCAACCCCCGTGTGACAGATTCTGCTAATTGAACGGTTATGGGTCATCCTCGTAACCGTTGGGCGACATTATCACCACGCTTCAATTCTTCATGTTTTAAATACATATTTAACGGATGGCTGCAGAGCCAGCTGGGAAACACGCGGGGTGGGAACAATGTTCCAGAAGGCACGAGACTAGGGCAAACGCGACAGCCCACTCTCTAGGGTGGACCCCAGAGGGAGATTAGCGGGAGGCGATAGCCCAAGTTTTCGTGTCTGTTCTGACTTTGCCACAAGAGCAATTACCGATTGTCTGCTTTGCTTGTTGTTAAAACTTTATACACGCGAATTAAAATACCAAGCAATGGAAGTAACCAGAGAAAGAGCGGTTAAAACTCTGTGAGAAAGAACTGGGCTCCTATGTATCTGGGGGGAGGGCGGGGACTAGCATCCGAGATGTGTACGGAAAAATACCCAAACAAACAACAAAGAAACAAATGTTAGCTAACAAACAAGTTCGAGCTGAAAATGTCTGAGTGTGAGGAACAGTGGGTGCTGGGGAGAGAGGCCCCCGTCTCTGTGCTTGGGGAATATGCCTGCTGCCTGCGTCTGAGGTAAGCAAGGACCAGCTGTATAGGACTGGCGATGTTTGTTGCTGAAATCACTTCCTAGATTTTCACTTCTGTAAAATGGGTGGACGTGTAGACTACTCCAGACAGTTCTTCAGATCGGGCTTCTCCGCCTTTTGTTTTTGTTTGTTTTCGATGGACGGTTACATCCGTAAAAAGAGCCCCGAGGCTGCTAGCTAGGAGAGCAGTTCAAGTATGAACTCCTCTATAGGGCCTCAGGTAGTTCTTTGCAAATAGTGTTGTTCCTACACCCACCGTGTGGACGCCGAGATGGTGCTGGAACTGCTGTGGCTGCGCCCCCAAGCTAAGAAGTGCGAAGGGGGGGCGCATCTTTCTTTAACCGGCTATGCTATGAGTTAGTGCGAGCATCTCATCCATGCTTCTACACAACCCTCGCTGGCATTATGATGAATCGCGGTCTCTCCTGCTTCCTTGCCGGCCCGTGCTCTCCAAGGCCGTGCTCCCACCTGGGGGCGCTACCGCCTGCCCTCGGAACAGCAGCAACGCCACCAATTAGAAGCGGGGTGTTCTGTGCTCGCTTAGCCTTCACTTGTGCAACCTCAAACGTTCACGGGATGAACACCACCGGGTGGACAGAGACGGCCGGCGGGAAAACAGTCAGTCGCGCTCGGGGTGGGTTACCAAGGACTCCAGGTGTGGCACCGCGTACACCTTAGGACATCGAATTGGTTCCTGACGCGTTTTCAGGGTGCCTACCTGACTCCTTGCCCCGGCCTGACGCTGCAATGACTACGTTTTTACCGAAAGTTGCAGATGTCCCCTCTCTCCTAGGGTCCCCTACGCTCTCTGCCACCTCCCCACCTAGCTGGCCCTCCTCCCTCCCGCCGGTTCCTTTCCATGCCCAGCTCCCTCCTCCCGTCCCTCCTCCCGAATCTCTAGAGCGCGGACGCCCATTGGCTGTGCGGTGAGAGGAGGCGTGTGCCTGGCCGGGCGGGTTTCATTGAGCGGAATTAGCCGGATGACATCAGCTTTGCAACCCCTCGGGCCGGCCCAGCTCATTGGAGCCGCTGCCCCTCCAGGAAAAGCACATTGTTCCCACCCCCGCCCGGACCACCGCCGCCGCCGTCGCCACTGCCTCCACCCGGCTATAAAAACCAGAGAAACCCCAAAAGGTGTGGATGCTTATCGCAGACCGAGCCAACACCAGCACCGGCAGCCAGGTTCTCCTCTGCAGCGAGCACTTCGAATCGAATTCACAGTAAGTGCCCCCGCCCCTCAGCTGCCCAAGCCTAGATCCCCAGGACCGACTTCCCAACTCCGCTAGGACCTAGGATGCGCCCTCACCGGCTGGCCAGCGGGCTGGGAGCCTGACCCTGCGGGTCAGCTGTACCTAATAGCTACTCTGGTGCGGAGACTCACCGCAGCATCCCCAGCGCCAGAAATTCCTGTTGTGGAAGCCCTGACCGGGAGGCTGGCCCTGCGCATCACTTAGAATGCGGGTGCCGTGCTGGCTCTAGCTGAGCGTGTGCACGCGTGCCCGTGTTTGCTGTGTCGTGTTGATGAAGATAAAGGGGGGAGTGCGCTTGAGCAGGGCACAGAAATACTTCTCTATTGAGATCTCAAGCCCAAAGAAAAGTCCTCGTTTATTCCAGGCCGGAATGAAGAAACAAAAACTCTAGAATGTCCCTTATACTGAGGGCCACCCAAGGCTTCCTGAGATAAAGTAACCGGTGGGCGATAGTGGGAAGGGGGTGGGGAGGGGGATTTGTTAGGAGCACTGTCGTGTCCCGAGCTGCCAGAAGGCCAGCAACAGCAGCGAGGTGGACACCGCAGTCCCCTTTGCGGGTACTCTGAGCTGCAGTGGAGAACAGCAATTCTCAACTCTCTCTCTCTCTCTCTCTCTCTCTCTCTCTCTCTCTCTCTCTCTCTCTCTCTCTCTCTCTCTCTCTCTCTCTCTCTCTCCTTTTCCTCCTCTCCTCAAGTTTCGACAGTTGTAAAAGGAAGGACCCTTCGGAAAGCTGAGATTATCCCTGGGGCCATGGACTCGGACGCCAGCCTGGTGTCTAGTCGCCCGTCGTCGCCAGAACCCGATGATCTTTTTCTGCCGGCCCGGAGCAAGGGCGGTAGCAGCAGCGGCTTCACAGGGGGCACCGTGTCCTCGTCCACACCGAGCGACTGCCCGCCGGAGCTGAGCGCAGAACTGCGCGGGGCCATGGGCGCGGCGGGCGCGCACCCCGGGGACAAACTGGGCGGCGGCGGCTTCAAGTCTTCCTCCAGCTCGTCCTCGTCCACGTCGTCCGCAGCCGCGTCGTCCACCAAGAAAGACAAGAAGCAGATGACCGAGCCCGAGCTGCAGCAGCTGCGCCTGAAGATCAACAGCCGCGAACGCAAGCGCATGCACGACCTCAACATCGCCATGGACGGCCTGCGGGAGGTCATGCCGTACGCGCACGGCCCGTCGGTGCGCAAGCTCTCCAAGATCGCCACGCTGCTGCTGGCGCGAAACTACATCCTGATGCTCACCAACTCGCTGGAGGAGATGAAGCGACTGGTGAGCGAGATCTACGGCGGTCACCACGCCGGCTTCCACCCGTCGGCCTGCGGCGGCCTGGCGCACACTGCGCCGCTACCCACCGCCACCGCGCACCCCGCAGCCGCAGCGCACGCCGCTCATCACCCGGCCGTGCACCACCCCATCCTTCCCCCCGCAGCCGCCGCAGCCGCCGCCGCAGCCGCCGCCGCAGCGGTGTCCAGCGCCTCCCTGCCGGGCTCCGGGCTGTCCTCGGTTGGATCCATCCGGCCTCCCCACGGCCTGCTCAAGTCTCCGTCGGCGGCTGCAGCCTCCCCTCTGGGAGGCGGGGGCGGCGGCAGCGGCGGCAGCGGTGGCTTCCAGCACTGGGGAGGCATGCCGTGTCCTTGCAGCATGTGCCAGGTGCCGCCGCCGCACCACCACGTGTCGGCCATGGGCGCCGGCAGCCTGCCGCGCCTCACCTCCGACGCCAAGTGAGCGGGCCAGCGGGGGTGCGTTCTGGAGAGCCAAGGGCTGTGGAGCAGCCAGAACTGGCCAGCGCTGGGGGTTCCGGAGCTCTGTTGCAAGAAGGGGAGCTGGACCATGGGCTGGGCCTAGGGGATTACGGGGAGTCCAATATCCGGGAACCGAAGTAGTGGGACCATTTGGAGCAATAGGGAGCGTGTGAGACGCATTCGCTCCAGAGCATGGTTAACTATGGCTGAACACTCGCGGGTCTGGGAGATGCCACTGTACAAAACGGCCACAACGCGCGCGGGTACTTCTTCGCTGGGACTCCCCTCGCTCCCGCACCCCCAGAAAGAGTCTAAAAACTGACTTTCCCATGTGCACTGACCGACTCCCTCCCGGTCTTGGCTTAGACAGCTCGTTGCCAAGAATCAGATCACAGGACACTTGACTACCGTTCCCCATTTCGGGCCTGGTAGGAGACTCCCAAGAGCCGCACTACAGAAGCTACCACTGGGTCTCACTCCCAAGGTTCATCCCTGGCCCAGGGCCAGGATCACTAACTAAGTTGGTTGACGCTGGCGTGGGTACCAGAAGCACTTATGGTCGTGTCCCATTTCCATGACTGGGAAAACCCGTGTCCCATCTCTCCTGTTGATTTGTGGTTTCCAACAATCTGTGAATGTTCCTTTCCCCGACCACGCGAGCAAGCTTTACAGACGCTCAGAATAGAAGCACTTGTGGAATGGAATGATCCAAATTACCGATATGGGACGCCATGCTTCTTAGGTCTCATTTTAAAATAGAAACTACACCCCTCCCCCACATTCTAAGCACAAGGGAATTTGGTTTCTTTCCCGATCGGGGACAGCAGTTTTAGGTACCTGAGGGCTTGACGGATCAACAAGCATCAAAAGGTTGCTGTGAATATAGTTTGAGAATTTGGGAGGGGGGTTCTGTTGGGATTTTAATAATTTCTTCTGTATGTAAATATAATATCAATGGAGTGCACGATACTAGGTTCCTTGTTCACGTGACTGCCAGCCCCTCCGGAGTCTAAACCTGCTGTTTTCTCTCTGTGTCGTGTCTCCCCCCCCCCTGTTTCGCCACAGTCACCACAAGTGGCAAATCCCTTCTCTCATTCCCCGGCCTCCGCTGCGACACCCGGCCTGATTCCTGCCATCCCAACTTTCCCTCTCGGCTCCTGCAGAGTGTATCTATCGTCTGTTTTATTTTTGTAAAGAAAAAAAGTGCTAAATACTATTTATTACTTGTTTGGTTGCATAAAACGAAACAAATGATGGAGTGTTGAGATTTTAAATAAAATTTAAAGTAAGTCAGGTGTTTTCGGTTAGTGTGAGGGGGTTGGGGGGAGGGACAAGGAGACACTGGGGACAATGATCTCTCTGGGGACGGATTTGTAGTTCGTTTTGCTGGCTTAGCCTTGGAAAAGAATAGGGATTTTTACCACTCCCTCCCCTAACACGTGCTTTCTTTAAAAGCTCGCATGTTCCGGGTACCTACCAGGGCTTTCTTGTGCTTTTCCCGTTTCTCACACCCACTTAGAAATTCCTTTTCCTTTCGATTGAAAATTGAGCTAGCTCAAGGATGAATTTTCCTTCCTTCCTTCCAGGAGTGTGGAATGTGGAGCCTTCAAGTCTCAGGACCCAGCCTTTGCTGAGGTCCTGGGAGCTCTAACAATGTCCTCTTCAGCCCCTATTTTATTTTCTCTCTGCTCAAGACCTTTCTCTGGCCACCACTGAGCCCTTGGCTTCAGCTGAGAGACTCCTGGGGCCGGGTGCAGCCGCAGTGCCTCGGTGTTTTGTGCAAAATTCTGCAGAGGGTTTTGATGAGGATTCATCAGCCCTTCCAGCCTTTCCCACACTTGCTACCCACCTGCCTGCAAAGTGTGTGCGCTGGGAACCTTCCTAGCCTTGGGGTAGCTCTCTCGTGCAGCCCCCCACATCCCTGTGAACTTTTGGGGGGACTTCTGACTTCTCTCAGCCACCGGGTTTCTTAGAATCCTAAACTGCAACCGTTGGGCTCTGCTTTCAAGAGAGAGTTTGTGCAGAACATTTCAAAGCTTCAGCTTCTTTGATAAAACTCGAGGCGGATCTGGCTCCAGTCAACACTCTGGAGCGCTGGCCCAGGAGCCAGATCCCTGAAATGTCAGCCTGGTGCAGAGCAGCAGAGCCTTCACCGCGTGACATCTTTGGTGGCCACTGGCAGAAGGTATCGAGACTTGAAAATAGAGATTTCCCTAGTTTTGTTTTGTTTTACTTTTGCTGAGTTTTTCGGAGCCCAGCCCATTCAGGAGTTCTTTACTCAAGCCCGTGCGAGCGAGCGGGGAACCATCTGTAGACCCAGCCCGTAGTCCTGGGGCGGGCACTTCTCCCACCTCTAGTGGGCAATGCCTGTTTGCTAGTCAGAAACACAAGCTCTCAGAGACGGGCATTGCAGGCCTGGCTTATCACAGAAGGTGGCCACCATCGTGGCCACCACTACTTTTCTTTCCTCTCTTCTTTCTTCTTCTTTATACTTTCTTCTTCTTCTCCCTCCTCCTCCTCTTCTCTCCTTAAGGCTAGGAGGCATCTGGAATTCCTGGGGGCTCAGAGAAGAGACAGCAGGCAGACCTGGGAAAGGGCGGTGCATTCAGCAGGGTCTAATCCTGCTTGTTTCGAAATCCCGTCTGAAACAAAACTTGCCAGCTGCTTGCTCCAGCCTCATATGCAGACATACATCTAAGGATACCAGGACGCGGGAGATCCTCTGAGTCTAGCTAAGAACCTGGAGGTAAAAGATGGGCAGCTTCGCCATGTTTGAAGCTGGTTCAAGCAAGGCTCTGCAAGCCCCTGCCCAAGCCTCACCCAAGAGGGACAGTTGTTGAAGGGAAAGAAATCAAGTCTGCCTTGCCATCTCCGTCCTGTCCCCAAGTATCTAGGGTCCAGGGTAAGAGCCTCCTCACCCCACCAAAGAGGGAGGAGTGGTGTCCATCCAGGCTCTGGGCCCTCCCCTGAGCCATTAGCTTCAGCTGTGGGAAGGTCTGGGCTCCCAGATTCTGTGGCCCAGCAAGAGGCAGACCTGGAACCACAGTCGGCAGCTCCTGCCCTAGGGTGGCCTCGGGTGCCCAGGCCAGGATGGAGATCGCTCATCTACCCTGAGAGGTGCCGCCAGAAGACTATGAGTACCCACTTTGACCTCCATCACAAGATTCTATTTGTGACTTTTTTGTCACAGATTTTATTTTTCCTTCCAGTTCTGAGCAAGCCCCTCAGCCTCTGTCTTGGCCATGTCCCTCTTCATGGCCATCATGACTCCCTAGCTCTAGTCACAGGTCCCAAGGACTCATCAGAGCTGAGTCTCAAATTGAGGACTCCACTGGAGATGGAGTGGATGGGGCCGGGTGACTTAGTGCTTCTGCACTCCCCCAACCCCAGCACAGCACGCCAAGGCTTCCCACTCTCCCCACAGCACCCCAAGGCTTCCCACTCTCTCCACAGCACCCCAAGGCTTCCCACTCTCTCCACAGCACCCCAAGGCTTCCCACTCTCCCCACAGCACCCCAAGGCTTCCCACTCTCTCCACAGCACCCCAAGGCTTCCCACTCTCTCCACAGGGCCCAAGTCCTAGAAAAGGGACTGATGCCCTGGACTGATGCAGAGGACTCCCAGTGGGACTGGCTTGAGCTAGCGTCCCTCTGATGCCACATCCTAGTGACAGTCAATAGAGGGTAAAAGCAAACGGGCAGATCTAGTGCATGAGCTGGTGGAGGGACACAGCGCGGAGGCCCAGAGGTGCCGCTCTCAGGGAGGCCAAGGAGTGTAGTGTGGCTGTGGGAAGATGGAGTACTAGGGACGTCCTTGATGACCTGCAGATCCTGCAGCTACCCAGGCGAGACCTGTCCTCCCTTTCCTTCATGGGGTAAAATGCTGAAGACTTGTTTGTTTACAGCCTGGTTTGGGTATGTGGGATTGCTCTACTACTGTCCTGTTTATTTACTTACTGATTATTTTAAGACAGGCTCTTACTAAGCTACCCAAGCTAGCCTTGAACTCATCTGTAACCCAGGCAGGACTTGGACATTTGACCTTCCCTCTTCGGCTCCCCAAGTAGCTATCATTACAGGCTTGCCCCAGTAGACCCAGACATGGTGCTATGTTTGAACACCCTCTCCCATGATGTCCTCATGTACCCTGTGATAGAGAATTGTCTGTTTCCTGTTAGGGCAGAATCAGCTTAGAAGTCTGAACCCTGTTAAAGAAGTACTCTCAGTGCTGCCAGTGAGCTCATCTTAGGCACGCCCCCCTCCGTCCCCCGTCCATCAAACTCCACTACAGACTTTGTGCTTCCTCTTCCCCTCCCCACACAGGGCCAGAAGCATCATAGGAGGCCTCCACCAACAGCCCTACATCAAGGGCCGCAAGACATCTTGTGGGCGAGCAACTGTCACTCATTGCAGACCTATGATGGGGACCAGAGTCAGGCCTGGCTGTTCAAAGAATAAATAGTCGGTGCTCCTAAATTCACCCCCCCCCCCCACTGCTGAGCAGAGGCTCAGGAACTCACCGAGTTAGCATGACCACTGGTCAAACCCCTGGCCTCCCACACAGGGAAATGACTCCATTCCCTGTCAGGGTGTAGGGGCATCCTAAGCAGAGATGAAGAAGGAGGCTTGGCTCTGTTGATGCTCACTAGATAGGGATGACCACACACACACACACACACACACACACACACACACACACACACGCACGCACGCGCACACACACCGGTTTTCATCTATCTCCCAGGAGCTGAGTTACTGCCGTAAGGCTGCATTGTCTGGCTGCAGGTTAGTGAAGGAGTGAGCAGTTAGGACCCGGGCTGAGCTGGCAGTTCAGGCTATGAATAAACAGGCTGGACGAGGAGGAGGTGGACACATTTGTTGAAGGCTAGTGGGCAGGCACAGCTCTCAGGGAGGCCTGTGTCAACTCATGGATTTCTCACAGTAACTCCGAGGAGGTGGTAATATCCCAGTTACAGGCCAGGAACCTGTATGAGGACAAGTGACTGACTGTAGGAAAACAGTCCATAAACTCAGGCTGCAGGAGTCTGACTGACTGAACCCCTACCAGCCCCCACTTCCAGATCAGCATTTCTGAGACTGGCTTAGCTCCAACTGAGGAACTCTTGAATCTGATGCCCACCCCCCCAGCAGCCGGCATTAGGGAAGCTCCTGGGTGCTCCCCCTAGGTGCTTGGACCCCATCTGTCCCTGACGCCTCCATCTGGGTTACAGGCTGTGCCAACAGACTTTAGCAATTAGCGGGCTCCGATGGGCACGTTGCAAGGGTGGAGGAAGGGCCGGAGCAGGTGAGCCGCGGAGGCTGCTCATTAGGGACTGTCGTTACTGCCAGGACAGCTGCGGGTCTGATATCAGCGGGAATCCCAGCCCTCCACCCCCATAGGGTAGCGCTTTCCGAGCCTGGGGAGCAATTCAGAAAGGGGTTGCAGAGACCAAGCAGACACGGAGGCAGTGGGACACAAGAGCTTTTGCTGCGACTGTGCACACACCCCTGTGGGACTTCAGATTCGGCTTTACAACACCTTGAGCCCCTACCCTCAAACGCGCCAGTGGCCCTTGAAATTCCCATTTGTGAGTTCAGAAGCCATGCAGCCTGGCAGAACACTAACTGCGGAGAAGGCTGCATTTTGAATCCTCCTGCTTCTCCAGCCACCGCTGTGGAGCAGGGCGGCTTACAGAGATTGCTTTGAAAACTCGCTTTGAAAGGTGCACAGGGGTCCTCTCCTCCCCCTTGCTTCCTAGGTCTCACAGGTGGTGCCCCTGTGGCTGGGTGGTGCTCTGCACAGGTTCTGAAGGCAGTAGCTGGCTTGTGCTGTGCAAACCGTCCTTTAAAGAGGGAGGTGGTTGCAGAGCCTTTGGGTCCACTGGTCGTAGAAATGGTTGGAGGTCCTCCTCCGTGAAGCAGGAACACAAAACCAGTGCCTACTTTTTTGTGGGGTTCAAATCGGCTGCTTCCGGGTGCACACACAGACACCATGTACCCGAATGGCTTGTGTACAGGGGTTTATAAACCTAAATTCACCTTCGCAGGACCAACCAAGCCCGTTTTGCACAGACACGGACAGGCTGAATGCCTTGAGCACTAGAAGCTGTCAGCTGAAGTTCTCAGACTGGACCTTGAGATTTGTAACCCTCTCCCTGGCTGCCTTTTCTCCTCCCAAACCAATCGGGCTCTCAGAGCTCTCTTCCACAGAGAAACTCCACCCTCCGGACAAAATCAGGTCACAAGCAATTTCCCCCTCTTTCATCTGGAAGTAAAGCCTGCCTTGGAGA